AATTTGTCATAACAAATCACCAAATATTTTTAGAGTTCTTTGTTCACCACCAGATTTATTTGTAGTTATATTTTTAAAAGGCTTTGCCTAGATTCATATGGTTGTTGATGCAGCGAGAGATAGCTACTCTTTCGGTTGAATTCTTGACAAAGCGAGAGGCAGATTGGATGTAAGATATCATATCATAACAGCAAACTTATGTATACGAGTAGGCTAGTTTGATCGATGACGCATCTTAGTTTTAGCGTTAATATAAATTTTCTTACTTGTCTTTATTCGTTCGTGTCATTAGAAATTTTATCATTAGTCTAACCACTGGTCAAACGAAATTGGGAATTTATGCGCACCTAGTAATAAAATAATTTTTAAACAATAAAATAATTTTTATGTGATATTTTGCTGTAAGAATGCATGAATAATTTCTTAGCACCTCACACACTAAATTTTTCTTGAGGCGTGTGCATGACATCATACGTGGCGTTACCTGGGAGCCAGGTCGCCATATTCCGCCCTGATCTGACGGAGGTCAAAACTTCAGGGGAGGTGGCGCGCGCCAAGCCCGTCACTGCCGTGCCCAACTACAGCAATCGGTTCGTACGATCATGGATGACCATTAATTTATACACGCTTGATGTCTTTATTCCTATTCATCTTGTCAGTTCAGGCATAAGTTCAAACAAACTTGTATTCATTCGCTGAACCACTTATTCACTAATTTAACCTTCATTGAATTTACCAGTCGTTTTAATCACAATTCAAGTGTGTTAACTATGTACCTGCCACACGCCCTGTCATGTCTCACACGGTGCCCAGTGTGCCAGGCAACGCTGTGGACGGCAACAACCAAACAACATTCCACTCGGACGCCACAGGAGCTTATCCGAAACCTTGGTTGATTATTGATTTAATGAGTACCGTGCTGGTGACGAAAGTTCGGGTGCTGCCATTCGTTGGAGCATGGCCGCAGCGAGTAACTGATCTTCGGGTAAATTCAAATCCATCTATAATAAATAATTTTTCACAATTAAAGTCTGCGTATGTATGCATATTTACTAAATGATGTTCTATTTGCGTATGAATATAGATGTATAATTATTTGAACATAAACAGGTTTGGTTTGACAGTATAGTCCGTCACGTATACGAGCTATTGTTTGCTGATGATTTTAGAGTTTGTTTTATGAATAAATTACAACCTCAGGTTGGGCTTGGCAACATTTTGCCTCCCACTGCGATGGACTTCAGTCAGTACGAAGTGGTTGGGGCCATCGACGGACCAGTGCCTATGGAGGAGAAGTGGTATGAGTTCGAAGTGTCGCCTCCTCGCTGCAGCCGCTACGTCGCCATCTACAAAATAGTCGAACGGGTCTACGACATCTACATCATGGAGCTCTCCGAGATGGAAGTCTTCGCCGAGTATTAGAAAACTGCAGAGATGACTGCGCGATATGCCTTCACAAAATGTTCATTGAGCTAAAAAAAAAGATTGTCTCGCTTGCAAAAATTCCATAATAATTCACACCAAAATTGGAAGAGTGTCGAGTTCAAAGTCAGTAGATGCGCATGATCAGAGTATATTAGGAAATGCTTGGTAGTTAATACGGCAATTGCAACCTTTGTTGCAGAGTCTCAAAATGATTGTCGAGCTACAAATATGAAAAATCAAATGAGGAGCTACAAAATTTTGTTAATTTTGTGATGCTCACATATAAGCTTGTGCATTGCACTTCATTCATTTATACTTATGAACCTATTAATGCACTTATTTCAGTGTTTAAAAACTAGTATCGAAAACTAGTAGTACTAGATAGTAGACTGTCGCATTTCATCCCCTTTTCTGATGGACAAATATCGCCGCACTAGAATAGTTTAGATGTCATCATGTATTTGAATCATTCTTATACGAGCTTCGTCGCAATAGAATCGTATAGATGTTATCGTGGATATACGGCAATAAATTAAAAAAACTGCGTTGTAACACATCAATGCGACAACATTTCTTCTCGCTTTGAATCACCGACATGTGGAACAGCCTCCCTGATAGCGTCGTTGACGCTCCGAGCATGAACGCCTTCAAGAAAATACTAGACGAAGCTATGCAGAAGCATATTCCGTATATGTTCAGTCTTGAAATGCCTAGCACCTTACGGACCAGCTAGGCAATAAGTCAAGCAGCTATCACAATCAAGCGTCAGTTCAAGAATCGGCAACAGGCCATGGGCCTATTTCTTCAATGCCGACACTTCTACTCTATTCTAATAGAATCTTATAGATGTTATCGTGTATTTGAATCGCTTTTATACGAGCTTCGTCGCAATATAATCTTATATATGTTAACGTGTATTTGAATCGTTTTTATATAAACTTCGTCGCAAATGCAGGGTTACCAAGCACCTGCGCAGGTTACCGTTATATGCTTATCAACGTAGGTCACGCTGGTACATCTACTATATTCAAATACATGATAACATCAATGTGCTAGCAATTAATTATTATGAGCTTGGTTTTTAGATTATCATATCATATAGAAACTTATGATATCGGAATCTCTGCATTAGGCTGGTCTTGACATAGCACCCGTTGCACTGCATTGATCGAGCACTGAAGCGCATTGAACCATGGGCCTATTTCTTCAGTGCCGACACTTCTATTCTATGTCTGAGAAATAATCATAATTAATGAAAATTTTTCAATTTTAAGATATTCATTTACTTCTACGCCTAAAACTGGGCCGTTAATAAAATAAAGTTATCATATTTTTTGTATGAGCGATTCTTTGTATGCATTTTGTATGAATTATGTGCAATTTTACATACATTATTAAAGTACATTCAAATTGTGAGAGAAAATTTCCATCAAATGCCTATCCTTTAGTTTGCTTTGCAGGCTACACAGCGAGGCGACGCTATGGTAAGGTGATACACCGCACAATAAAGGAATGTTTAGAAGAAGGTCACGTGCGAGTCAACTGCTAATACTCAAATGAAAATAAAGTGCCATAAAGAAACGATATGGTTGTTAGATAATGTCATGTTTGTTGAGATAACTGTAAATTCCGAAATGGGTATAGACGGTCATCTATGTATTTGGTATATAGATGATATCAAATGCAGGTTTTTGAGATCACTACAATCGTTCGAACGAACACCCGCCGTGTACTCAAAAATAAACAAATTGTCGTTGCGATAATCTCTAACGAAACTTGGGACGCATCGAGCGAGGGCTTACTTTCAGTCTCAATCTATTACACAATTAAAATGAACTTGAGGATCCCAATTCAAGAACAGACTAGCTAAAGCTATGGAAAAATATATGTTCAGATTTGAAATGCCTAGCACCATATCGAACCCGGTGGAAGTCGAGTAGCTATTTCAAACTATCGTCAGTCATGAAAAGATCCGGGCAAATAACACGATTTTGGATCTTCTGTGAACAAGGCACGAAAGAATCGGCGACAGGCCACAAGGAAAAGAATCGGCGACAGGCCACATCAGGCCTACAATTCAGCGCAGAGATCACTATGTTATGTTATGTAATGCCGACTAAACATGCGGTCGGGTAGGAGTAATTTAGGAAATGCAGCGCAATAAATTGTTGGAATTGTTAACGGAAGAACAAAGAATTGCTACGTTTTCCTAAACGGTGTTAGTCAGAATCCACTTCATATAGGTAGGCTAATAATTTTCACGCATCTTCTGCCCAACATTGCGCTAACATAAATATTAACTTACCAGTACACAGCTTTATTAAACTTATAAAAACTACCATAATTTACATAATGCGTCCAAATTAATCAAATAAAGATCAAATAAGCAAAATTATTAGCGAATAAGTTACGCCATTATAGACTAGAAGTATCGGCTCTGAAGAAATAGGCCTATGGCCTGTTGCCGATTCTTGAACTTTTCGTGACCTGATTCACAAGGGATCCGGCCTTTGGAACCCGATCTTTCCATAACTGACGAATCGATTAAGATAGCTGCTGGACTTATTATTTCTCGCATCGGCAACAAAATTATTAACCAAAATAGTCAGATATTGAGGCGGAGCTTCATTTGTAGTCTATATAAAAAAAGAGTAAAATCGGATGTCATTTAGCCGCCTTCTTGAGAAATTTAGTAACATCTCCGATTTGACTTGGATATGCTAGGCTTAAATCTGGCACAAAGGCAGCACATTACGCTTAAAGCTTCAGAAAGACGACCCTCACACGTTACGAATTTAAGGACAAGGTAGCATTTAAAAGCAAAACTTAACCATTGTGGAAGATTAGGTGTAATCCGGTTAGCAAAAAAAAACACTTTCTTGTTATTCTGCTTGTTATGATTTCATCAACAATGGTTTACATCAGTGTCATCCGAAGTTATCAAGTCAATGCAAGTTTCGATATCAGGTTTAGACAATTACGAATCACCAATAACACGTCCAAATAAAATGCTTTCCATCTTGCGCCTTAATAGCGCAGTACTACTGACTATATAAAGGATACTGTTAACTGACGACGAATATTCAATTCTTTAGAGGCTGAACTAGCCTGGATCGTGTCTATAAGCAATCTTTTGTAGAAAGTGTCGCCCTGCTACAATATTCTAGTTCTTTGGTTTTCCCGAAGACCACACTCAAAATAAACTTAACTATCGTTCTTGTCTTACGAGAATAATTATTCAGCTTTCGAGTATTACCAGTTTACTTTACCAGTATTGGCGGCTACTGAATTTTCCAAGCTCATTCATCATTGTAGCTCCGTTATCCACTGTTCAAAATCATCGATCGATTTTTATAACCTTATCAATTTCCTACCTACATGAATTTCAAATTTTCAGTATCCTGGAATGACCAGGAGCAAGAGTTTCAGAGCACGAATACCCGAAGAAAGTCACGTTACATCTCAAGCATTTTCCCGAGAAGGAGATTTAATGCATCTATAAAATATCACAGCAAACTTGTCAAGTTTCAAATTATACTCTATTTTCACGACTGGAGGATTATTGAAAAACCATGAATGTGCAGAAGATATAGTATCGCGTATGTATCTGTTCACTTTGTTACATTGTGCAAAAATCTAATGAACGCGAAAACAACTTAATAATCCGATGGCGGCGAATGAACCTATAGAATTCTTCTTATTCCTCTGCAGTCTTCATTAGGGTAACGATGCTCTAATTCTATGTTCATTATTTTATATTAGATCGTTCAGGTATCAAACATCAACACGTATATCATATGGTAGGATTACTCACAATTGTCAGCACTAAAATCACCAGGAAGGCAGACCGATAAAATACTAATTAAAAATTACCAGGTAGGCAGACCGATAAAATAAATAAAGGTGTCCTGAGTCTCCTAACAACAGAGTCCAGTTACTTTAAGACTTGCGAGTATGCAATAATCATTAGCACCAATAATATATTCAAAATTAGCTGAGCAAATAAAAATATATACAAAAAACGTACATGCGATAAATGCTGCCGAGTAAGCGTTTCGATGGCACTTTCAGAATCGTGAGTCCGAGCTTCAATAAAATCATTCGATCTGAACAACATTATTTTATCACTAGTTTCAGCTGATCTTTTGGACACCCTATTATTTTGAGTACTATTAGTAGAGTTTTTTTCTGCGGAATTTAGAGAGTCATCTAATACCGAATAGAAAGAGCACTGCAGCGTACGTTGCGCGACGTTCAACTCTTCAATTCTTCCGGTGCCGACAGCAGCTTTTGCCCCATCGTTCTCAGGCCCGGAGTTGTGGAAAGGAATTGGAGAGGACGAGATCCTACCGCTCGACATGGGCGCTTCAATTTCTCCTGTGAAAGAATTATCCGATCCCTCCAAGTTCACCTCTTTTAAAGATCCAACTTCTCCCGTTGGTGAACAAGTTTCTAAGCTTCCAGGAAATTCGAAAGCAATGTCGTTTAGGCTTCTTGAAATTTTGCTAGAAGATCTCAAGACCGTAGCCATACGAGGTTGATCCGAAGACCGGAGTCTAATACGAGAGTCTAACCTTATACCTTCATTTTTTAAATCTTCGACGGGCAGTGACCGGCGCACGGTGCCTGCAACTGCCGGTCGCTGAATTTCCATCATTGAAATTTCCTCTATGCCTGTAGAGGAGTCCGATGTGCCCACAGTATCCGTACTGGCCGTACTACATTTTTTCAAAGCAGAGTAGCGTTTACCGACTACAGCCTTTGCCGAAACCTGAAATGCATTGCTGATGTTCTTCAGGAATGACCTCCTCTTCCTTCTGCCAGAGACAAACGGCTGCCCAGACTTTCCGTCGTAATCTCCGTTGCCCGCAAATCCATAATTTTCACCGTCCAGAATCGTTGGATCTTCCACAGAAGGGTGTTCATACACCGGACCATCTAGCAAATCTTTCTCGTCATTTGTGGTTTCGTTAAGCTTAGCGCAAGTATTGCTCGAACCCATTACAGCATAGAGAATTCTTTCCTCGTTCAGCGTGGACTTTTTAGTCATTTCCATCATCTGTTGAAAATTTTTAAATCATCAGGTTGCAGTTGCACAGTACACACATAAAGCACAGCAAGATACCTCTTCTTGCTATACTATGGAAATAAAGTGACATTTGCAAAGGATTCTCAATTGTAAAATGTCTACATTACCCAACGTAGGCTCCTCAAGGATGGCTTCAAAAGTATATTTTTTGTATTCAGATAACTTCTGATTTAGACTTCAGCAAGTTAACGCAAGATTGAAATATACGAAAAGATGAAGTAAATAATTTTGACTAATTTTCGCTCCACATGCTTTACCACGGTACGAAGTTCGCGACCGCTGTAATCTATAAAATTAATGGATGGTTGAAACTTTAAAACATGTTAATAACCTTCGTCTCCACTATTATTTACGCCCTCCCGTATGAATCCCAGTTATAACCTGCTGGCTGCAATTTTGAGGGCTATTAAATTATCCAGCACACATAGCCTATTGGACATGACCTATCTGTCCCATCAGGCTATCACCGTCTATTGTGGAGGACATCACAATCAATCATAGTCTGGAGATGAATATGCAACCGCCCAAAACGAAAAAAAAAAACTTTCTGCACTATTCTAGAATTCTAACCATTCCAACCGGAATTATTAGCCAGCATTAAATCATTGCATCGCACAAGTTTTTGAGGAACACTGCTAGAAACATTGCGATAATCTCAGACAGACACACGACTTCGTCACCTATTAGTGTTGCAAGTACGTGCCGAACCTAGCAATTGAAGTCACTATAGAAGTTTTTGGAAGTGTAAACTCGCCAATAATTTAACCGCGGAACCTGCTTACACCGGTAAATTCTACTACATTGTCTGACTAATTTCTGGTTATTGAATAAATGGTGGCTAATAGCCCGCCAATGTAATAAGAACTTTAAAGTAAGACTTGTAAGTTTAAACACACGTCAACTTAACCAATTCAAACGTTGGGAAGCATGGTTATATATATTTTCGGGCATCAGATCCATTCAAACTTCCTATTATGTAGAAATTTCAACAGCCCTAATCAGATCATGGCACCATAACATTTCAGTTGGTAATCAAGGCTATGAACTTGCCGTCCGTTCTGTTGACTCAATAAATTCGAAAGGTTTGAATTGCTTATCACTAGATAAATCCTATTCGCCAAAAATCTTACTGCGCGTTACACAAAATTCTTCACTACTACTCTACGCAGATAAAAAAATACTATACCCAGCTTATCCACGCTCAGCTCCTTAGAGCCACTATTCACCTGACGATACGGAGGACTAGGAAGCGTTGCTGGTACCCAAACTATTCTATATAGATACTTCCGAAACAATCCGTCACCGTGAGGACGGTCTGTTCCACTCCGTGATGGAACTCCGATGTAAATGGTAGAAGTTTGATGTAAAATTAATTTACAGTCTGAATAGAATTATTTTTCCTTATTGTAAACATTGTAAAAAAAGTCTAACATTTAATGACTCCAATAATTAAATTTATTTTCTCAATTCAATTAAATTTGATTACTCACGTGGATTTTCATGAAGCGTTTAAACGATGGAAATTTCAACGGTTTCTCATACAGCCGTTTTCCGGTCCTGAATATAAGGTTAAATCATTTGTTCGTTAACGGTGGTTCGCGTAACACTATATAATTAATGATACGCGGAGACCTCAGAGGCGATATTCCAACACTTTTGTAGTCATGAACGGTTTATAGTTGAATTTTTCACTTCATAAAAATCTGTAGTGTCAACATTATATAATATAGCAGCGATTTGTAACAACAGCCTCTCGCATATTGTTGCACTACAAGAATATACACTTATCAACAGCTCTAATTATAAGGGCATCGAGTTAGATAAAATGTGACTAATCGTATATAATAAAGAATAACCTGTGATATCGTTGGTACGCAGTAGCACCTGGTGGTATATGTTGACTGTAATTTAGGGGATCTCAAGTAGTACTCAATCACAAAACATATATGGAACTCCATGTTACTCATGTTCAACTCACCTCCGCGTAGCTCATGCAGTTATAAGTTTTTTATTTGTTATTTGTACATACATCTTATGTAAATTATGTAACGGCGTCGGATGGGTGGTCTGAAACTTTGAGGTATACTTATGTTTATATTCTAACGGGGAATTTAACCCATTGATCCGCTCGTAACAGACCGGTCATAAACCGGTTGACATGTAATTTGAAAGACATTCTTTCGTTGTCAATAAACAACGACCATGCAGTGTTGTCTGAATGTTAGCGTTCGTTTCGTTTTTTGATTACGTTTTAAATTTGATAAATGTGTTATATTGTAATTTTATCGGCAACCGAGCCACTAGTCACACGTAATATAGTGAAAATATTAACGTTGGATGGAATTTTGACACAAAAAGACTTTGGAATCAACTCACTAATTTTCCGTTAATTTGTACCCGATCCTATTTTAATTTACAGACTTATGTGATTATCTAATGGTGCATATAATTAGACTATCGTCGATGCTGAACAGAATTAAGTATGAATAACTTTTCTAAAGCGTAACTTTTTATTATAATATATTTGTACTGATTGAACTGCATGCTAAATAAAATGAAAAGAGTTTAAAAGAGATCGGCTTTTTTAGATGTAGGAAAAACGAATGGCCGATTTGGTATAGAACTGCTGAGTCAGACGCTAGAAAAAGCGTTTATCAGTAAAAAAATATGTGAGGATCGTGCAAAGCATGTATGATAATATTATTATAAAATATAGATTGGTGATATAGAGACGAACCGGGTTTGGTGCAGGAGGGGCGTACGACAAGGATGCATCTTGTCTTCCTTCTCATCAACCTTCACACAGAAGAGATGGCTAAGAGGGTAATAAAAGGATAAAAGTGATTGTGCTATGACTATACTAATATACTAATTATAATACTAATACTTTTAAAAAATGATCGTGCTGCGATTATGAGCAAAAATATTGAAGAACTAAACAGTATTCTAAACTGTAAAACCGAGTGGGTTATGGTAGGGATTTCAATGAGCGTGTAGCGGTTCTGTTTTGAAGGAACATAATAAAAATATTTAGAAATTTCGAATTAGCTTAAATTGTAAAAATAAGATTTGTGTATACATGAACGTCACCACAATTAACCCGACAATAGTTAACTTCAATCAAACTTGTAGTATTCTAATTCATTTCACCAGAACCTCTTATTAGAGTGAGCACCTAGGATGTTGACATTGTCATACCGTACTAATTACTTTGTTTAATAGCTGAATTGATTTATACTGTTTATAATCGTTTTCTATGTATTTTTTTTGTAACTTGTAACGATTTTTTATTCATACAGGGTTTTATACTGAGACCACATAAAGCGTCTTTATTTTCTTTAAATTGACCGCGAGATGCTGTAAGCGGTTCAGTGCCTTCATGCTGAGTATGAACGGAAGTCTGTACAAGTGGAGTAAGAGGAGGAAAGACAAATGTTTTGTGTGCGATGGTGGGGATGAGAAGGAAACTGTGGAGCCCCTGATGATGGAATGTGGGGAGCTCAAGAGAGAATGGCATTCTGTGATCGAGCTGATTCGGAATCAGGGAGGTGGGAGTAATAGAGTTGGGAGGTATGAGAGAACAAGTGGGGAGTAGATTGCTATGATCGTGGTTTTGGCTGAAGGGGGTAGCTGTGATTGAGGATGCAAAACAATATTTTGAGAGCGTGTGGAGGCTGAGAGGACAAGGATGATTATAGTGGAGGAGCGTGCTGGGAAGAACCAGCTGTCCCTTCCCGAAACGTCCTTTTCCTTCCGGTTTCTGACTTTGTTTAAGATGAATGTTGATGTTAATAGCTATATGTTTTAGTTTCTTTGATATTGCAGTAAATGCCTTTTAAACCGAAAAATTCTTTAGCTGCTTAGGCGGAAGTTAACACTCTATTTAGAATAGAATAGAATTGTCGGCATTGAAGAAATAGGCCCATGGCTTGTTGCCAATTCTTGTACTTTTCGTGACTTGATTCAGCAAGGGATCCGGCCTTTGGAACCCGATCTTTCCATAACTGACGATTGTTTGAGATAGCTGCTGGACTTATTGCCACTGCTGGTCCGTAAGGTGCTAGGGATTTCAAGACTGAACATATGCTCCTGCATAGCCTCGTCTAGTCTGTTCTTGAAGACGTTTATACTCTGAGCGTCAACGATGCTATCAAGGAAGCTATTTCACAAGTCGGTGACTCGAAGCGAGAAGAAATGTTGTCGCATGAATGTGTTACAACGCAGTTTTTTTAGTTTATAGCCGTGACCCCTGGTGTTGGTCCTTGTTTTGATGTCTAGTATCCTTCTGGGACCGTATGTATATACTTGTATACTGCAATGAGGTCACCACGCAGACGTCGATAACAAAGGCTAGCTTTTATTTTTTAATTAATAATGCACAATATTTCACGCACGTCTTAAATCTGACATGATGTCTGCGGGCACCCAAATTCCAAATCAAAATAAGAGGAGTCCAGTAGTAAAAAATTATGACCTTGCTGAGTACAATGAAATTTTAATGTCAAAATGCGCGTTTTAATATCTCCTAAATCAGGCGTCCGTTGACATTTGACCGTTTAGGTGACATCATTTGGGGCTTGTTCTACAAATTCAATGAAAACTGGCTTCTTGAAATTCACACTAATTCATAGTATTATTATTATAGTATTAGTATTATATTATAAACTAGTTATTGTCAATATTCGGTTCTAAATATAGGCAAAATGTGCTCCATAAACGTACTAAACAATGGCTGGCTGAATGAATGTTTTGTTTTTAATTATATTTTTATAGGTTAAAAATGTTTAGGTTGATAATCTTATTTCGGGGCAAACGTCTATGTTGGCCTGTGTCGTGATGAAATCCGAAAAGTGTCGATTCTGTTTGGAACTGAATGTTTATTATAATAATAAATAAAATAATAAATGTTTGTATCTCACTCACCTAGTACGTAATTTTGAGCAATTTTTTCTAAGCTAATTTACAAGTTTCGAAAATATTTAGAAAATTAACCGTTGAAACGTTTAAGTAATTTCATAGAATTTCCGCCGCTGGAGAATTAATTTTGTTGACTCTTCCGTTGCACCACTTTATTGTGCCCTACAGTCCGCTTGCGTTGTTCGATGAAACGCAGTTGTGTCCTCGATCAGTCTTGTCGCAAATGAAATGCGTAAGGATTGTATTTTATGTAAATTATGAATTATAAATATATATGCAGATAAAATGATGGTCAGTAACCGTGATCGCATGATACAGTACGATGATTTGCACTTTCCATATTGCGATGACGTTAGCAAGTATGAGAAACTTGATAAAATCGGCCAAGGAACGTTTGGGTGAGTGTTTTTATGAACTACTACTGTACTTTGGTATCAGTAACTTAGGAGAGATTTCTTAGCTTACATAAATTTTATCATGAATATATGTAATTAAGTATTAGATTTAGATGTTACATACCTAAATAACTTGAAGGGTAAAAAAATATTTTGATGACTGTGAAGAGTGAAGTGAGTGAACAGTGAACTGTGAAGGAAAACCATATAGGCTATGTTCAATAATTGTTTTTCAATCACGTATGCGGTATGCAAGATAATCATCATTGATGATGTTGGTAACACTCGGTGTTGTAGTTTCAGATCAATAAAAATTCATGCAAAGATAGATATTATGATATATATGTTGCATTCATCAATGGACACAAATTTTGTAGTTTTTGTATTACTGGCATAAGTTGCATTTGAAAATAAGAATATTTCTCTAAGGCTCTAAGCAGTAGTCAAAGCATTCCCTAAGTAAGTACCCTAACATGATTATTGAATTGTATCATAACTATCATTCATTAAAATTTTAAATTTGATAGAGTAATAAGATTTTTTTAAAATATCTATATTTCACACTTCATAGGCCGCATGTACCACATGTGACATGTGTACACATTGCGATTCTGAGAAGTACAGACTACAGCGTGTACATATATGGCACACATTGCAGCCAACGTATGGTGGCAAACCAGAGATTTTTTAGAATCAGTTCATTTTTAATTTCCTCATTTAATCAATATTTAAACCAATTTCTTATGTATGATAAAGCTGGTATCCATAATACTTTACTGGTCTACTTATAGGAATCAAAAATGAACTTGAGAGAGAATCTAAAAAACTCTCTGCTTTGTCACTATGGGCCCGCCAACGTGTCAAATATTTATAAAAATTAAAAAATAATTAAATCTTTCTCTTTCCATTGGTGTATACATAATTCATTTTGAATCAATGCTTGAATAAATACAAATTTATTTAATTGGTTAATCATTTAGAATAACCCTGTGGCCTGCATATTTGGCAGTAGGTATATACTAGGTAGGTCAATTAGCCTAGTCAAAATTGGTATTTGATATTATTCATGTTATATTAATTATTCCATTTGTATCAACTGATGTATCCAAAAACTTGACACATTTTGCTCATGACATACTCAGACTCTAGAATGTTGTCTTTAACCCTGAAAAATTTATCTCAGGGAGGTGTTTAAGGCTCGACACAAGAGATCCAAGAAGGTTGTGGCTCTGAAAAAAGTCTTGATGGAAAATGAAAAGGAAGGGGTTAGTATTGCAGCTAATTTTAATGGTCTGATATGTGATATTGTATACATGTTGCTCAGTTTCCATGTTATGTATTATAGAGAATACACCTTAAAAATAGTTTGATATCAAATTTTTTCAGATAATTATAAATAGTCAAGATCAAATCTGTTTATACAATTTTGAGAGCTTCTCCTACAAAGCTTCATGAATTTATTACCGTCCTGAAGTAAAGTTTTCATGATGTACATGTTTTTATTATATATTGCTTGTTTAGGTTCAATAAATAGGTTAATTTTTTTTTTACTGAAAAATGATTTATTACTTCACAGATATCATAGTTTATTATTGCAGAATTAACTCCTATATTTTTTTCAGTTCCCAATAACAGCTTTAAGAGAGATCAAGATTCTCCAGCAGCTCAAACATGATAACATTGTCAAACTGAATGAAATATGCAGAACCAAACGTAAGTATTCATTTGATGTTTGCATCAATTTCTTTATTTAAATAATGTTTTCACCACTGCAAGGCACAATTCTTGCTTCCTTTGGTGTTGTGTTGCCGTGCTTAAATTCTCATTTTCATTGAATGTAAATAGTTAAATAATCCTGTTGTAAAACCATGTATGGGTTTAGTTACTATTAATGCCACTTTCCCTGAGCATCTTCAAAGTTTTGTTCAATCACTAATCCTAACTGTGGCATACATACATGGCAAGTTTTTGTCAAGTTAATTATCCTATTAAAATACAAGTTCATTAACTCTTGCTTTGCCATTATTCACAAGTGTGGGTTACCTGCTGTATAATTTTCTTTAACAATGTCATTGAACTCAGCATGCCAAAGCTTGTTATAATTCTGATGCTGATGTATGTCTTGTGTTATGTTCCATCAGGCAGGATGATAGTGTGCAGTCAGTGATCACATTTTGCTCAGATTTTGAAAAATTCTTCTATTAAACTTTTGTTGATTATCAAATGAAATAATAATTATTAATGGACAGATAAATAAATATATTGAGGAATTTATTTTCTGCCAGATGTTGCTTGAAATGTATTTGCAATGTAAAACCAAGATTGATGCTCTGATGTTTATGATAGAGAAAACATAGAGATATATAATATAGAGAGAAAATGTAGAGATTATAGCATGTAATTGTCAATTATAAAATTGCAAAGGAAATGACAAAATGCAACCGAAAAGAATTCAGTGATAATTTCTATACATTTTTTCTTACATTTGATTTTTTACAAAGTATCTACACTCAATTACCCTAGCAATGATATCAATCAGGTGCATCTTATTCATCTTAGGTGTTTAATCTTCATTGATGTTCAAAGTAATTCTTCTTTGGTAACCTATCTTAACTTCCTTGATGACTGAATTTGACCTCAAACTAAACATTTGTTTTAACTTGATTTATGCCTTAGCCTGAAGTGCCTAACTTCATGTCACCATCCTGGGCAGCTGTTAACAATGCTTACAATCGATGGCGCTCAACCTTCTATCTGGTGTTTGATTTTTGTGAACATGACCTGGCTGGGCTGCTGTCAAACTTCAGTGTCAAGTTCAGCTTGGGTGAGATCAAGAAAGTCATGCAGCAGCTGCTGGAGGGACTCTTCTACATCCACAGCAGCAAGGTCAGCCATTTGGATAATTGTTTCCTCAAAACTAATAATATGAACAATTGTAAGTTGTATACAAATATTATTTTGTTTAGCCTTGTTTGGATTAACAGTTTTTTAGGTGATGCCCCTCAAAACTAATAATATGGACAATTATAAGTTGTATAAAAATATTGTTTTGTTAAGCCTTGTTTTAAATCAACATTTTTTAGGTAATGATTTTTTATACAGATTTGTTTGGAATGATGGAGCCAATTTAATAAATTTGCATCTATTTAGGTATAAATTCAAAGTGAATAATGTTGCTTTGATGCAGAGCCTCACTTGCACCCATGTAAGTGAGGCAGAGGGTGGCAGGTGTAAGTGAGGCAGAGAGTGGTGGGTGTAAGTGAGGCAGAGGGTGGTGGGTGTAAGTGAGGCAGATGGTGGTGGGTGTAAGTGAGGCAGAGGGTGGTGAGTGTAAGTGAGGCAGAGGGTGGTGGGTGTAAGTGAGGCAGATTGTGGTGGGTGTAAGTGAGGCAGAGGGTGGCGGGTGTAAGTGAGGCAGAGGGTGGCGGGTGTAAGTGAGGCAGAGGGTGGTGGGTGTAAGTGAGGCAGAGGGTGGTGGGTGTAAGTGAGGCAGAGGGTGGCGGGTGTAAGTGAGGCAGATGGTGGTGGGTGTAAGTGAGGCAGAGGGTGGTGGGTGTAAGTGAGGCAGAGGCTGATAATATGGCACATATCATGTCCTGGTGTTGGGCAGTAAACGCTCGGCACTGACCAGACTGGCGATCAGGTCACGGCATGAAATAGTGCCACGGCAATATTGTATTTCTTATTGTTTACATATTTCTTTAGAAGATGTACGTTGATGTTTGACTTGGGTGCGTGTCTTGCCATACAGATACTACACAGATATTTGAATGTAGGTATATCTTACAGATACTACACCGATATCTTGTTGTATGTCGCAAAAATATCTGAATGTATGCCACACAGATACTACACAGACATGAATGTGTGTCACATATATCTGAATGTAAGTCACACAAATACTACACAGACATGAATGTGTGTCACATATATCTGAATGTACCTATGTCAAATAGATACTACACAGACATGAATGTGTGCCATTCGATGACCACATCGAGGAAATAGTTGCGAGAGGGAGACCAAGGATGGGGTGGATCTGGCGAACATTTTGAACAAGAGAAGCAGCGCCAATGTTTACACTCTTCAGAGCCCTCGTGCTCCCTAATCTTGAGTAGGTATTGCTGCCAACTTTGGGCATCAGCGGCATGAGGGAAATGAACCTGAACTACTGGGGAAGGCTGAAACACCTGAGACTGTACTCACTGGAGAGAAGAAAAGACAGGTATATCATACTGTACACTTGGAAGATGATAACCGGACTGGCTCCCAACGTTGAGAGTGAGACCTCCAAAATAATGACATATTACAACGAAAGAAGGGGCAGACTGTGCAGGATTCCCCCATTTAATAAGCGAGCCGCGGCCAGAGTACAGACTCTTCGTGAGGGATCACTGTCCGTGCGACCGAGGCTCTTTAATGCCTTGCCAAAAGCGCTGAGAGGAGGGGAGTTTACCCTTGCAACATTCAAGAGACAACTGGACAAGTGGTTGAGAAAGATCCCGGCTTGTCTAGTAATGAAAAACTACCATCAGCAAGTGACAAGCAACAGCATCTTGCATCAGCTGGCCCAAATGAGGGCAAATAGACGGAACACGTCCAACGTTACATCTGGGACCCGAGGGCGGGGTGACCTGCCTAGCGACGACTCGGAGACGGAGGACGACGAAGGCGGCGCACCTGCGTGACCGGGGACTAGGAAGTCTTAAACTCATCATAAGGTTATTAGGTCGTGAATGTGTGTCACACAGATATCTGAATGTATGTCACACAGAGACATGAATGTGTCACACAGACATCTGAATATATGTCACACAGATACTACACAGAGTCATGAACGTGTGTCACACAGATATCTGAATGTATGTCACACAGAGACATGAATGTGTCACACAGACATCTGAATATATGTCACACAGATACTACACAGAGTCATGAACGTGTGTCACACAGATATCTGAATGTATGTCACACAGAGACATGAATGTGTCACACAGACATCTGAATATATGTCACACAGATACTACACAGAGTCATGAACGTGTGTCACACAGATATCTGAATGTATGTCACACAGATCCTACACAGAGACATGAAGGCCGCCAACGTGCTCATCACCAAGTCCGGCACGCTGAAGCTCGCGGACTTTGGCCTGGCGCGTGCGTTCTCTCAGAGGAACGGTCAGCCCAACAGGTGAGGACTTACATGTCTTTGTGGACTTGGTTTACTGCAGTCTCTCATGCCACTTTGTGGACTTGGTTTACTGCAGTCCCTCATGCCACTTTGTGGACTTGGTTTACTGCAGTCCCTCATGCCACTTTGTGGACTTGGTTTACTGCAGTCCCTCATGCCACTTAGTGGACTTGGTTTACTGCAGTCCCTCATGCCACTTAGTGGACCTGGTTTACTGCAGTCCCTCATGCCGCTTTGTGGACTTGGTTTACTGCAGTCCCTCATGCCGCTTTGTGGACTTAGTTTACTGCAGTCCCTCATGCCACTTAGGCAGCTGACATGCAAGTGGCAGAGTGAGACTTTGGTCTCACTCCTGACTTTAATCACTCACGTGTAATTATTAACTATACTAACCGTGTGGTGACGCTGTGGTGTGCATATAACACGTTATGATGACGTGTGCATGACGCTGCAGGTATACTAACCGTGTGGTGACGCTGTGGTACCGCCCCCCGGAGCTGCTGCTGGGGGAACGCAACTATGGACCTCCTATTGACATCTGGGGGAGCGGGTGCATCATGGCGGAGATGTGGACTCGCACACCCATCATGCAGGTGGGCTGCGAGGGCCATCATGTCAAGCACTCCTGTATTCACTGGAACCTTTTTTTCCTTATGTTTCTATGCATGCGATTACAAGGACGTGTCCAGGATGAGCGAATAGTGCGTAAAATAAGAGTTGTTTTGGCTCTGTCTGCTCACTCAGGAGCTTGCATAGTATGTTTGGACCACCAACATTGTCACGGGACTGTCGTGACACCTTCTTTCCTTCTTGTCACTGGATTGTCTAGACACTTTCTCTCCTTTCTTGTCACGAGAGTTCAATGTATTGTTCATCATTTGACAGGGCAACACGGAGCAGCACCAGCTGACGCTGATCTCCCAGCTGTGTGGCACCATCTGCCCTGAGGTGTGGCCTGGAGTAGAGTCGCTGCCACTGTACGCTGCCATGGAGTTGCCACGCAACCACAAGCGCAAAGTCAAGGAGAGACTCAAGCCTTACATCCGCGACGCCCACGCCTGTGACCTCATCGATAAGATGCTCACTCTAGACCCCAGCAAGAGGATAGGTCTGTTGGTGCTCACTCTAGACCCCAGCAAGAGGATAGGTCTGTTACTGCTCACTCTAGACCCCAGCAAGAGGATAGGTCTGTTACTGCTCACTCTAGACCCCAGCAAGAGGATAGGTCTGTTGGTGCTCACTCTAGACCCCAGCAAGAGGATAGGTCTGTTGATGCTCACTCTAGACCCCAGCAAGAGGATAGGTCTGTTACTGCTCACTCTAGACCCCAGCAAGAGGATAGGTCTGTTACTGCTCACTCTAGACCTTAGCAAGAGGATAGGTCTGTTGATGCTCACTCTAAACCCCAACAAGAGAATAGGTCTGTTACTGCTCACTCTAGACCTTAGCAAGAGGATAGGTCTGTTACTGCTCACTCTAGACCCCAACAAGAGGATAGGTCTCATTCAAAAAGTGGACTGTAACGTGAAATAGAAGTGATGATTCACAATTTTCCCCTTCCTACTGTCTCAATTTTCCAATTTGTCACAATCGACAATTTTTCTACTGTCCCAAGAACTGTCATTTACGAAATTGGCTAATCAGGCGATAAGCTTCTTTGACGATGGCGTACAAAAGCTGGTCCCAAGATACGATTAAGGCCTAGATATTTAAATGTATTATGTAGGGAAAGCTCTTTAGAGTGAAAAAAATATATTTTCTTATGTCAAAGCGAATCTTATACTTCAAAGGCACGCCTCATATCTGTCTAAACTCGTACATAATGTAAACATAACTGCTGTAAAATCGTTACCACCTTGAAACGACTCCCAACAACAGTTTCAAGGATGTCCTTATGTAGGGTGTTAATCCTTTAACATCTTTCTTTAACTAACACTGATTTCAGCATCTCGCAGCTTCTTGATTTAATGCTATGGGCCTATACTTGAGCGTAAGTACTTACGTTCACTTGGCGAGTTTTGAAAGTAAGGCCCATGGTCATTTAATTTGTCTTGCTTGTGCGTTGCACCAAATCTTGCTAGCCAGATCAAAACACGGCAAAGCCAAAATACAACTGAGTTTCCCGTATTGCTATTTGTATAAGTATTGGGGAAATTTAAGTTTTGTAATGGTTTCAGTGTCATTTATTTTCATTCGCAACGTATGATTCAATGCTCCGAAGCGTCCTTGAAAAAATATGTATAAAGAACTGTTTAATGAATGTTCTCTCTGAAGCCCGAGGTTAGCATGCTGTGGAGTCAGCCATGCAAAGCCCCAGGAAAACGATTACGAGGGATGATACAGTAAATCTCGGCATTACCAGCGTCCTTCTTTAAAAAATGGCTTCAATGCTACTTCCCAAAGATCATAAGCCTGTAGAATAAGGTTCTTCTCACAATTATTGATTAATTTCTTATAGGTACTGAATGGTAAGTAGGTTTTTGGTCTGAATTGTCTACGGTACGCGTTTTTTCTTGAAGGTTATTCTACTCACGCTGGAATCAAATATCTTATGGAAAATCTTCTTTCGTACGGCCTTTATGGCTGCCAACACGTCTGTATTACGTTTTTTAATGCTATACCGTCTTGCAGATGCAGACACCGCTCTGAATCATGACTTCTTCTGGTTGGACCCGTTGCCCTGCGACCTGGGCACGATGCTCTCTCACCACACCCACAGCATGTTCGAGTTCCTCGCCCCCCCTCGTCGCAACCGACACCATCACCACCATCATCACATGCACCACAACCAGCAACCATCACAAGCTGGTGGTGCCCAAAGCAGTGCTGGTGGTGTTGGTGGTGCAGGAGGAAGTGTTAATAGCGTCACGCAATCGTCTTCAGGCCTGAGCCATCACCACCAGCCCCACAGCAGCAGCAGCGCGTCTCAGGGTAGACGCCACCGCGCAGCTGCTGCCTCTGTAGCCAGCATGTCCACCTGCCCTGAACGGATATTTTGAGCCAGCGTGTACTGCCCTGAACGGATATTCTGAGCCAGCATGTACTGCCCTGAACAGATATTCTGAGCCAGCTTGTACTGCCCTGAACGGATATTCTGAGCCAGCATGTACTGCCCTGAACAGATATTCTGAGCCAGTGTGTACTGCCCTGAACGTATATTCTGAGCCAGCGTGTACTGCCCTGAACGGATATTCTGAGCCAGCGTGTACTGCCCTGAACGGATATTCTGAGCCAGCGTGTACTGCCCTGAAAGGACACCATCAGCAGTCAACATGCCATGTCCTCATGGAGGAAGTTCATTCTATCCGTGTTGAAAACTCGAGTACAAATTTTCCTACAAAATCTAGGTTACTTTCGTAAGCTTTGAATATTGGGTTATTATTTGTTCAAAGTTTATTTACTGGCTTTTTGGTGATTTCTTTAGTATTGAAACCGTCATGGGGCCTCCATGGCGTTAGTGAACTCGAATTCTTGCGTGTCGCTGTTTGAAATGACATTTAATTCTAGCAGTCAAATAATGAATCCTAAATAACTGCAGTTTGATGCACGTCGAGGTGTCAGTAAAGATCTCTCCTTGAAGACCAAAAATTGTAAGAAGGCCAAGAATGATTTGGTTTGTTTGTGACACTTTACTGGCTACCTTCATTCCTACAACATTAGTTTTTATTAAAAGTTTTAATGAAGCTTTAATAGGATTTAGCATTAGACAAACACTATGTTTACTGTGATTAATTTTATGTTATATTTTTTGTTTATTTTATCGTATCTTAATGCTGATTTCCGCTTAATGTTGACGTTTGGATCTTTCTCGACGCCCTATCGTGCTGGACTTCTCTTTCTCGTCGCCATATCGTGCTTGACTTCTCTTTCTCGACGCCATACCGTGGTGGACTTCTCTTTCTCGACGCGATATCGTGCTGGACTTCTCTTTCTCGACGCGATATCGTGCTGGATCTCTTTCTCGACGCCATACCGTGCCGGACTTCTCTTTCTCGACGCCATACCGTGCTGGACTTCTCTTTCTCGACGCCCTACCGTGCTGGACTTCTCTTTCTCGACGCCATACCGTGCTGGACTTCACTTTGTGCTCCAATCCGTAATTCTCACGAATCAAAATGAAATTTATTTGAGAACGTGCTTAAATAAGTAGATTTCAAATTAGCAGATTATATATAGTTTGATGAACTTGGTTATAATTACATCTTGTTTTACTGATTCAAAAATATCGCTATCGACATCTTTGAGCTTTTCTTCAAGCTATAATTATTGTGTTTTTTTAACAATTGATTATGAATACGCTGGTTATACTGGCAGTGTCAATGCGTCTCGTGTGTTGCCAGTAACGCTGGTTATAATGGCAGCGATTCAAGCAGCAGGAGCAGTTCTCAATTTCTCGTGTCAACGCTCGCTAATATTATGTTGGTATTTTTTTCATTATTTGTTTCATCTTTGTTTGTGTTTCCTTGGAAGTAATATCGGCTCTAAAGTCTATTATAATTTTTAACTTAGCTCATGGTCCGTCACTTCGTAACATGTTTCTGAAGTCGGGGAAAGGCTGGTAGGAAGTCCGGTATGTCCCTTAAAACTTTCTTCTCTTGCCCTGCTTGGTCTTTGGATGATAAAAAAGAAAAAAAACTCCACTCTTCCAATTAATTGGTGCTTGGGATTTGAGTTGTATATGTCTACTTACCGTATGTACATTACTTGTACATATTTTGATGGTGAAGTGAACTTGAATGCTGCCGCTACGAACTGAGCGCTGTTTGCTCGTATGTGACGAAGCTTTTCTAGTGCGACAAGATGCAAGCACGAGTCCCGTGCCTCGATTATTTCGCTCGCGATTTCAGCAAGTGTCACCGAAAAAGTACAAATTATCCTGACAAATTTAAATATTTAATCATTTTGTACATTCGTTTCACGTGATCGCGTATATGACTTGTGAATGTGCAACTTTCAGTACCAACAATAGGTTAACCTGAATTAGTATTAGTCTTTGTAAACCTTGTCCGACGATCTCATCTATGCACTCGAACATTTATTTGCGTGTCACTTTGTACATCATGTACTTTCTTCTCAACTTATGAGCCGCTTCCTAGGATTACTTGCCGCACATTGATTCTCACAACAAAGTGTCCGTCCAAGCGGCGGTTTGCCAGCCTCGGTTATCATCTCGATACTCGCTCGGGATCATGCGATTCTTGTCGCATTTCAGCCATCAAATCCCACTGCTAGCGAATGTTTTCAGGGCATTTATGTGATTCTTGGCATATGATGAATTTGTTAGCTTCTAAAGTAACTTCTTTGTCGGTCCACTATGCGTAAATTATCTAGAATTAAACAAAGGCGCATTTCCACGTTGCTGTTACTTGCGTGTGCGATGCTCCCTGCAACTGGAACTGGTTTTCCTGGCAAACCGCCTCTGTATTTTAAACGTTACACTGAAACATAATTAACACACCAATTCGCCCCCAATGGTAACTTTCAAAGGGAAATAACCTAGCGTTTGTCGTCGCCAAAATAACATGAGTACAAAATGTTGCTTTTTCTTCTGTCTGAGGCAATTTTCTTCTAAGTACCGAGGGACATCGAGAACTGTGCTCTGAATAGCGAATAACTGATGTGCATTATGTTTTTAATTATTTTTTACTTTCTGCCTCTCCCCAACAGTGTCGTAGTTAGTCTCTATGTTGTTAAAGTATGCATTATACATTCTTACATACCTGTCATTAAATTAGCTCTTATATTCCATTTATTTTCTATTTCGTATTCTTTCGATGCCGGAACTGCCAAATACACGAGAAATCCCTGGCACTTGAAGTTGATCGTGTGCGAGTTTTTAATTTCGTGAGAGCAAGTTTTGCTTGGAAATAATCTATTCTTAGTTTAATCCATTAGTGATCAGAGTAAAAGCTATAGTTTTCAGATCGATATTTCGCTGTAGGAAGACGAGCCATCTTTTTCTTTTTTAGATCTTTTTATTATGTGGTGTTTTCCCACTATGTAGTGCATGAACAATATCAAGGTAAACCCATAAATAAGCAGCTCCGATAAACGCATATATACTTGTTTGGATGGTCTATACTTCACTTATAAGTAAACATCCTTCGCGCTCCCTTCGATCGCAATTGAAGAGTTTTCACTCAAACTTTTATTTAAATTTAGTAGTTCCCTAAACTGAAAAATCCGTTGAAGTTCTTCTGTTAATTTCCTCCATCGCACTCAGTGAAGGTTATAAATTTTACTTGATCTCATCTTTCCCTGGCCCCTGGGTAAAGTATATCTTGTTGATGTCTGTACGATGAAAATTTCAGTATTTCCACTCCTATTTAAATTATTGTGTTTCATCGTCCAAGTAAGTTTTTATTTTATTAGTGATTGAAAGCAAATATCATGTCTACGATGCCAGCTGCTACTGCGTTTTACATCACGACATTAAATTTTATTCTACTTCACGACTACTACACGAATTTCTACTTTTCGTTGATGATAAAATCAAGAACTTCTACGTTACAGCATCAGAAATGTTAGACCAAATAGCCGCCACTATCCTGGTGCTAAGAGTTGCGGTGAGCTAAAATCGATCATTTCTTATTAAGTTGAGCGCGCGGAAGGAAATAATGTTATTGATGTCTGTGATTGCCGACAGACCAGCGTTGCGGGCCCGTTTTTCAATGAACATTTCCTAGGCGAAAAATGCACTTTCTTGCAGTTTTGATGTACTTTTTTTAATTTTCCGTTTAAAGAATAATCTGTACTTTTCATGAGCTAATAAGATCAAGTTTTGACATGACACCATCTTGTACTTGAATAATTAACCCGGTCTGTCCTATTGTTTCATTATCCCGTTCTGTCCGATCGTTTCATTATCCCGTTCTGTCCTATTGTTGCATTATCCCGTTCTGTCCTATTGTTTCATTATCTCGTACGTACCACTTCCGCACAATTTTCTTGCATCCTTCGCCCAAGCACCGCCGTCCCCTCAGGATTGAGGTGCATTCCTTCCACTCCAACCCCTCAGGGGGGGCTTCTGACGCGTGTCTGTGCTCGTCAGAAGTCCTATGGGATTTCGCGCTCCTAGGAGGATTGTTCCTGAGCGCCCCACCGCTGAGCTCGCGGTGTCTGACTGCAGGTCTCAGTTGTGGGGTTAAGTTATTATGTAGGTAGGATTCCTTACATTTCCCTTCTCTGTCTCTCTCGTGCGGGTGGCCGACGTCCCGTGTAAGCGACCTCTTGTTCGAGTGTCTTCGTTTCTGTTACTTTTCACCTGTCCCTCCTTGTCACTTCGTCTCTTTGAGAGGCTAACGCTGCTTCTTTCAAGCCAGCTTCAGCGGGCTGGACATCTGAGACCTTCCACCCCTTGTGGGTGATGACCTACTTTTGATTTGAGAAACTTTTGATAATTGAGACCTTCCACCTCTTTGGTGATGTTCAAAATGACTTTCGGTGCGAGATAGCTAAATAGCTGAAGCGCTAGTAAACCTGTGGCCACTAAACTAACTAACTAACTCCTTCCACTCCAAACATGTTCTCTCTAATACAGTCTGGATCGAGAAAGCTGACATTTCTCTCGCCCATTTTAAAGCATTTAATTTTGATTTCCATCAAATTCCTAAACACTTTCATATTTACATCTCATTCTCTCGTAAGTATCATATTCTCTAGGTCGCCTCAAAATACCGATTACTGCCACGGACCTCATTTTTGCCCGCACTACCCTCACGCGACTAGTAATTTCCTGACGGTTTTTTCCACTCCCATTTCTTCAAACCCATTTCCTTCATCATGTAAGACAAAGAGCCCGCGACCATAATTTTCAGTTTTGTGTTTTGAGAGCTTCCGTATGTTGATAACATTTGCTCTTTCCTTAGGATACAATTTCATTGCCCGTTTCATTCACGCTAATTTTTCCCACAAGTGCCGAAATCCCAGTCCCCCACCATTAGAATTGGGTGCTTAACTATCCTTTTTCTGACATACCATGGTTCTGTCACATTCCATCCTCCCCCTCCTTCCATCCACACCATCCCCACCATGCACACGCGAGCTTGTCCGGCCCTGCACCGACTTTGACACTCACTTGTCTCCACAATTTTATCCTTACCCTTTCCTTCAATATGCTATTTTTGTCCCTTAAGGATGAAATATACTCTACCGACAACGTATGCTCTCATAACATCTTTGACCAGTCTTCAATCCCAAGTTGCTGCTTAGAAAACTAACTATTGCAGCGACATATTCCACCTGGTCCACAGGCACCTCATTTCCACCCCCATCCCGCCTCCTTGCGCTAGTTTGTAGGACTGTTTTCCCATCCTTCCAACAATCCAGCCAGTCAAATATATATTCTGATTCACACTTAAATTCAGGCAAGATTCAGCACTTCCCAGTACAGCACATATACAGACAACAGTACACGTCCTAGCTAGACATACATAAGACAATTTAAATTGAGGTAAAAAGGCTAAGCGAAGTGGATTTTATTGCACTCCTCTAAGATGCAAATAAATTAGTATGTCACTTCTAAAATGAAAAGACGTTTGTATTGAAACCTATCATTTAAACCGGCCAACGTCATGCGAGATACTAACAGTCAACATATTCGTATTATTTTTATTATAAGGTAGTCATCACTTTGTGATGATAACCTAAAACGTATCAAATAGATTTGAATAGATTGTTCATTTCACTTCAGCCATGCTTGAACTTTTCCAAAATATGAAGAGCGACATGTTTTACACACTAAAAATTTATATTATATGTCGTAGACTGTTATAATTGAATTGAAATCTAGGTATTGAAAATTAAAAATCATCATTAAAATAATATGGAGAAACAAAATAGTATTAATCTAGCAAGATAGATTTGAAATTATTTTTAAAGAATTCCAAAAATTTTGATGGAATTATCATGCTATCGCGACGCACACAAACGCAAACTTTTCAATTGCACCACGCTTTTCTGTAATGTACTTTAAAATTTGGAACCTATTAGAAATGTGCGAAATTTTTATGCTTCCAAAGGCATTTGCGTCGTTTTTGCGCGATTGAGTTTACGGTGGGCGAATAAATTAGTGTTTCATAAAGTTGGAATACGAAATGAAAATAAATGTTTATCAATTTTTACGACTGTTTCATGAACTGGTTGTAACTTAACTGACTTAACATGAGTACATTACATGTAGCGTAGGCTACGTGATAATCGTGATTTTAAGTGTAGCAACTTCCCGCCTGACTTCTTTGATCAATCCACCTAAGAAATAGTTCATTTTTGTGTTAACTTCGTTATAGCCTTTTTGCTCCTTGTCAGTTCAACTCCAGCCCTGTACCAGTAAACAATAAACTTGAATCACTGCTTACTCCAGCCTCTCCCTAGCCTCTGAGTGTCTAGCAAACCTTTATTACCGCATTGTCAGATCAATCTTTACATAAGTTTCAATGTGAATGATGTTCAAATTTTTTTGCAATGTGTGAACGATGCCTATTGTCCAAGCTTCTAAGCTATGAGTACGGTATTGCTGCCAGACTTACGAATATCAGACTCAGTATGAGGCTTGTTTTGACTTGGTTGTTTTCAGTTATATAAAAGGCTGATTTGCTCAGCCTCAGTGCCCTAAGAGCTCAGTCTTTCTTGCCTAACAAGTAACAAGTGATCAATCAGTCATAATGCGCAAATTGCGCATAGCTACCTAGGCTATACCTACCTAGTATCTAGTGTCAATTGTCAAAGCATAGACTTTTTAGACTCTTCAAGTTCATTTTCAAGTCTTAACTGTCTTATAGCCTAGTGGAACTGTGGAAGTGGTGCTATAACTATAAGTAGACGAAGTTGAACAACAACAAAGTATCATGATACCAGCATTATCCTGTAAAAGAAATTGGTTTTTGAGTAGATGAGGAAATTAAAAATGAACTGATTCTAAAAAATTTGGTTTGTCACCAAATCCAAATGGCGCTATGGTGGGTTATTGGTGACAAACCACAGACTAAAGGACATGTGGCAATTGAGAACTTGTTTTTAGCTATTTTTCTAGGGTCAAGTGTCAAGATACAATTTAAGATATAATTGAATTCAAGATACAATTGTATGCAAATTAAGCTTAGTATGCATTGCTTGCCAATTTTATGAATCCCAATGAAAAACAGTCAAAATACAACTAAGTTTACAAATAAATTTATAGTTAAAAAAATTAGTTTTTACATAGAATCTCTGGCTCCAAGCCTCCATCATGATTCATGAGAATAGCTAGGTTCTGCTGTTCTGGACTTCTGGTACTTCTGTTCTGGGAACTTGGGGTTGGGAAGATGGACTCATGGAGTGCAGTCTTGGATGCAGGCTGGAATTCTAAAATTCGTGGTTCACATAAAAAAAGTGTTCCGCCTTGAAAAAAAAACGTTCCAGGCAACTAGAAACAGGTTTGCAGGCCGTCAGAAATTGGCTTTGGTTATGGTAGCTATGATCGTTTGGACGTAAAGTCAGGCAACACAGAGAAGGTCCCATGCAAGATAGTTAATTGCGCGCGTCACTCATAGATGAGCAAGAGGGATGGATCTACAGAAGGAAATACTATTTACTCCCAACATAATAGTTTCAAATTAAATATAAAAAAACATTTATGGCCCCTATTCGTTACCTCAGCTTTCAAATTGAGGAGAAACTCATTGGCAGTTGGAGCAACTTCTCAAAGAAAAGGCAATGCACAACAAACAACATGACACTTCACAGTTGACTGACTAGAATAGACTCGATAGTCAATAGAGTACTCGAAAGTCAAAAATTTAGCATTCAAACCTTTAGATTCTGTGAACCTTGTAATTTCTTCATTATTAAAACTTAAGGCTCACAATATATCACATAAAGTTTTCACTCAATTATCGTCTCAAAGTTCGGGAGCTTTATCTGCAGTAATGTTCTGTAATTACCTTACCCACCGTCGCCAGCGATTGCGTAATGAGAACTAACCACTAACCATCATTAGATTCCTGCCACTGTTGCACACGATTGATTCTGCATGCATGTATAATATTTACGAAGGTTATTAAACCATTCTATTAAACCAAGATCACAGATGACCTAGACTGCGAGAGATTACAGGATGATCTATCGTCAATCTACGATTGGGCCCTAGTGAACAATATACAGTTCAACGGCACCAAGTTCAAAGTAATGAGATACAGAGTCCGCACAGAGATTGGGATGCCACATCGCTACTTGGCATCAGATGGCACAGGAATTGAGGAGAAGCAACTAGTTCGAGATCTTGGAGTGTTGATGAGTACTGAAGCCACGTTCAATGCCCATATCGAGGAAATAGTTGCGCGCAGCCGGCAACGGATGGGGTGGATACGTCAACGGATGGGGTGGACATTTCGAATGAGAGAAGCAGCACCAATTATTACACTCTTCAGGGCCTAGTGCTCCCCAATCTTGAGTATTGCTGCCAACTTTGGTCGCCACTCAAGGCGGGTGCGGTGCGGAAACTGGGGGCAGTGCAGCGGACCTTCATGTACAGGATCAGCGGCATGAGGGAGCTGAACCTGAACTACTGGGGAAGGCTGAAACACCTGGAACTGTACTCACTAGAGAGAAGAAGAGAAAGGTATATATATCATACTGTACACTTGGAAGATGATAAACGGACTGGCTCCCAACTTTGAGAGTGAGACCTCCAAAATAATGACATATTACAACGAAAGAAGGGGGAGACTGTGCAGGATTCCCCCATTTAATAACCGAGCTGCGCCCAAAGTACAGACTCTTTGTGAGGGATCACTGTCCGTGGTAGGACTGGGGCTCTTTAATGTCTTACCAAAAGCGCTGAGAGGAGGGGAGTTTACTCTTGTAACATTCAAGAGACAACTGGACAAGTTGTTGAGAAAGATCCCAGATTGTCCAGTAATGGGAAACCACCCTCAGCGAGTGACAAGCAACAGCATCATGCACCAAGTGGCCCTAAGGAGGGCAAATAGACGGAACACGTCCAACGTTACATCCGACGACGAAGGCGGCGCATCAGCGTGACCGTGGACTACGACGTCCTAAAATCATCATAAGGTCATAAGGTCATTCTGATTTCTGTTGAATGTCAGTTACTGATAAATTTTTAATATAGAAGAATCCATATCTTTCATTTTTTCACATGACTATATTGATGTCGGTTTCACATTGGTTGCCAGTGGAGTTGGTATCCCTGCTACCTTCTTTGTTTACGTTTTTTCTTAGGCTGATCGCAACGAAAGGAGATTGTATGTCTCAGCTGATTGCATCGGTGGTCAGTTTTGTATTTGTGGATTGAATCATAGGCAGTTTTTCATGTATTTGTGAGTGAGTGTACATAGTGAAGATGTTATTCTTTGCGACTTCCATCAATAATGACATAACTACACTATTGTATTATGCTCTTGAAATAAGAATTGTAGCATTACGCACTGAGTTAGCATCAGTGCGTTAACATTGTGTGCATTTGAGGCGGTCCCTTCTAGCTTTCTATTGCTGATTGGATTCCAGTGGCTGTGACGTTGCACACGTTCTAGCGCTGATTGGATCCCTGTGACAGTACGTTGGCAGAGGTGGGCAGTAGCGCGCTACATGTAGCGGTAGCGGCTCTACATTTAAGTCAATGTAGCGGTAGCGGTAGCGCCCGCTACATATTTAAGTAGCGATACAAGGTTTTGCCACTACAGCGCTACCGCTACATTTATAGATAAAGCCTTTAGATTTTACTTGAGGGGACCGGCTACCCTCCAACAAAACTTTTTTGTTTACAGACGGATCGTTTTGAAACTTGGTAAACATGTGTAAAACAGAAATCTAAGACCTTTATGTTCATGTAAATTTAAAAAATGAAAGAAAACGTGAAATTAATAGAAAGCGGCAAATAAGGGGTACTCTAAAAAAATTGTTAACTTTTGCAAATCACATGCTACAATGTCGAGACACATATCATTCGATTTGTAAGAACAATATCTGGCAACTGTAGATCCTCGATTTTTTATTTTCCTCATCGTTTTTTCGCGTTCTTCCCATTTTTTTCACATTTATACCCCCCTACCTTCCTCCCCCTCCCATATATAAGTCAAACCATGCTCATATTAAAAAAAGGCTTCTAGAGTCGCTAGGTATTATTTTTACAAATCGAATGGCATGTCTCTCATTGTCGTAGCTTGAAAACTGTTGGAGTTATAATTTTTTTAAGATGGCGTTTTTTGGATTTTAAATTGTTCAGGGGAGCCAAATAAAGTAAAATTAATTGAAAACAGAAGAATATGCCCAAAAAGTCTTGATATTGTAGCCCAAGCTTTTCCATTACCAATTATTTGCATTCAAGGTACCAGCACGCGTCTTTAGACCTATTTATGTTCAATTTAATGTGAATAATAGGCTATAAATGGGACTTTTTATATATAAATACATCTGAATCTGATGTATATATCTGGATCACCATTATATTTCTGGATCACCATTAGCCCATGCCCAGGGCATGGGCTAATGGTGATCAGATCCATATATAAAATATTAATTTTACATAACTTTACAACTGCATTACGCAAAAACTATTGCATGAACATCCATGGTACTGATGGTAGTAGCGTTGTTAAACGCGTCTTGTTTGTAGCTTTCAAACAAGTGCAAACACTTTGCAATTAACCTAAATAATGACATATAAATACCATTTATTTGTAAATAATGATATAAAATGATAATTTTATAAAAGTTCAAGACTGCATTACACAAAAAAGTATTGCATGTACATCTATGGTAGTAGCTTTGTTGATCGCGTCTCGTTTGTAGCTTTCAAACGAGTGCAAACACTTTGTAATTAACGAGAGTAATGATCTATATATACAGATTTAATTCAAATAAATCTTTGTACATATTGTTAAAATTGTCTTACGCAAAAATTATAGCACGCGCAGACATGCGGTAAAGTGCGTTAGACGCGCCTTTTCAGCAGCTACAAAACGAATCAAGAAAACGGCAAAGCCAAAATTTCCGATTTTTAGGGTAGCCGGTCCCCTTAATAGTATTAAATATTATTTAAAAACCAGCATGATACA